GGGTTTTTTTTTAATTTGATGTTGCTTGGTGATCCTCATCCAAAAAGAGATCTTGGGAGTTTGTGCTGCATTTTAACTGCAAGTGTGTGAAGATAAGGTGGAAGCAATCTGCCCTGGGAGCTATGTCTTTCCAATTAGTGCCTTAAAGAACCAGGAGTCTGTGCTAGGATCATGATGCTGGGTGAGGCAGACACAGGGGATTAGGCCCTGGCCTAACCTGTGTAGTGAAGACCACGAGAGCACAAGACCAGCTGGGCAGGGGGAGCAGGGCCAGTAAAAATCCAAGAGCTTCTTGGCATGAGGAGCAGTAGAAGGTTGGAAACCTGAGAAACTGCCTGTGCTTGTGAAGGTGCAAGAGAGAGGGTACGATTACTAACTGGAATATTCTCTGAACGTTGCAGTGGCTTCAGAAGTGTTTGAGGATGATAATGGCAGCAGCTTTGTATCCGAAGAAGATTCAGAAACTCAGTCAGTATCCAGCTTCAGCTCTGGTCCTACAAGTCCCTGTGAGGTGCCCACTCAGTTTCCTCCTGCGACACGACCCGGAAGCCTGGATCTGCCCAGCCCTGTATCCCTCTCTGAGTTCGGGATGATCTTTCCTGTCCTCGGCCCCCGAAGCGAATGCAGCGGGGCGTCCTCCCCCGAGTGCGAAGCTGAAAGAGGTATGCATGGCTGGATACGCCCTGGGCCAATGTTTTTCAGTCTTATAAAGGGAGCAGGACAACCTTCTCAACTCCCCTAGGTGTGTGCCAGCTCACTGAGCTCTGACCCACTGGTGTCTTCCTTGGGGAAGGCAGTTCTTGAAGGCCCCTTGTCTCAAAGTTAACAGTGACATCTAAAGCATTTTAATTATTGTTCTCCTGGCTGGAAATGTTCCCCAGTTCTGTCTTAGTGGAGGGGGTGGAGGTTTCTCACGAAATAAGCGTTCAGTGGGATTCTGATGGTACGTTTATTTGAAGGAAAATCTGAATTCATTTATTTATTTTTTTAAAATTATTGTCTCGCTTGCTGAAAATCTTGCTTTCCAGGGGAAAAAAAATAAAAACCTCACAAAAAAATAATGTGCCAAAAGGAACCTCTTGCAGGCTCTGCCAGCCCTAGCTGACTAATTCAGACTAAAGGATTACCATCACTCTTGTGTGCTCCAGCCTAAAGCTGTGTTGATTAATTTGCTGACGCAGTGCAGAAGCAACATTTTGCTCCTGCTCCTGTAATTTTTGCTCGCTTTGGCAAAGGAAACTGCAGAGATGCTTGAAGCTTAACTTGCAGAATGAAATCTGGGTTTAACATCCAGTTTAATCCTTTCTTTGCAGGGGATAGGGCAGAAGGGGCTGAGAACAAGACGAGCGACAGAGTGAACAAGAATAGGAGCAGCACCAGGAGCAGCTCCACTGAAGGGCTGACTTTGGATAACCGAATGAAGCAGCTCTCCCTTCAGTGCATGAAAATCAAAGAGGGAATATGCGCGGGCAGAAAAGCTGCCCAGATTGGCTGAGTCCTTCTTGTGCCCTGTCCTGATTAATGGGAGTCTAAATATTTATACATGAACTTCTAAGTGTTTGAAGAACGTTGTGCCAATAATATATGCCAAATCTTAAGCGTTTACTCTGAGAATTTAAAAATGCACTAAGAAGTTTAATTGATGTGGAGGGCTGAAGTTTTTATTCAGTAAACCCTTTGTAGGCCTGACGAGTTATCAAATGTTTAAGCTGTGCTCATATTTCACAGACTTTGTAAATTGTTTTGTAGCAGCCTGGCTGAAGCAATAACTAGTAACGTTCCCGTGTAAATTCATGCCAGTCGGGGGTCTGAAATTCAAGCCAGACATTTGCAGAAAGCGGTTTGGCTTCGGTTTTGTAGAATGAAATGCTCTTTAGATACAGCTGATCTCTTGAGTACAAGTGGCATATTCTTTAAACATCTGTATTTGTCTGTATTATGCTGAAACTGTAGAAGTATTTTGTATACAGGAAAGCTGTTGCATGTGTGGGGTCTGAAAGCCTTCACTCTTCCCTTGGTGCTCACAGAAAGGATAAAATGAGTCATGCCTATAAAAGCCTATAAAACAGATGGATGACAGAAAGGGGATGGTGATGCTCAAGCAGAGGTAGGCCCTTTCTAGACACCTTCCCGAGTCTGACTTGGACTCTGTGGGTGATTCCAGTGACCAAAAAGAGTTGATTGGCCCCTTGCCCTTCCCCTCCCCTGAGAAGTGAAGTATTATTTTTCAGCACTTTAAGTGTTTGGGGTTTTTTTTCCCTCAAAAATGGGAGTCATAGATGTTTTCCAGACAGCTATGATAAGGGATTCACCCTTGAAATATGCATGAAGAAAAGGAATTGCCAGTGTAGATTGACAGTGTGTTCTTAAGCTTCTCCGTAGGTTGTACTGTGTGGGGGTTTATAACTGTTAAAGGGACTTGGGATTTTAGTATGCCCTAGAGAAAGTGTTCAATAAAACTAGAAAGGGCACGGGGAATGTTTTGACAGCAGCTGTTAGACAGTAGTAGTGTCTGATAATTATGCTAATAAGTGGTAGTAAAAAAATCCTAGGACTCTTCAGTTTTGGTGACTAAGCATTTCTGAAAGCACCATTTTATCTAAAATGTCAGTTTATATTGTTAATTTGATGGGAATTTTAGTATTGCCCAAAGTATTTTCTATTCTATGTTTTTGCAGTCCTGTTGTATTTCATCCCTGCCACAGCTTGTGTATCTATTCTCAAAGTTAATGTAAAATTCTTCACACTACAGTAAACATTTTTGTTTTCCACATTTTGAGTCTGTGCAAGTGAAGTTTATCCAAAGCTCTAGTAACCGAATCTTCTTGTGCAGCAAGTTTAGTCTCCAAATATCCACTTCCAGCTGAAGACTGCAGTCTGGAGTAACTCTGGTATTATCATCATTGAGGTACATGGGCAACTGTTGCCTCCTTCCAGCTTCCTGAATCTCTGCATATGTGATTCACTTTTTATTCTGAACTGTGCCACAAGACCAGAGCTTTAGTCAGGTTTTCCAAAATCCCTCAGTGTGCTGAAGGAGGGAGGTATTCTGTTACACAACACCTCTGTACCTAATGCTGCTGAAATTGGCTGTAAGGCCGTGCAGAATTGAAGGTAAAGAATCCTGTTTTCATAAAAAATAGATTCAATACATTATAACTGTTACGCTGTAGTAGCTTTAAACATTTATATGTTCACATCTTCCGAAGACTTGAAGGCTGAAATCTTCCATTGCCAGCAGTTCCTAGGCCCAAAAAGTGCTTAGGAAAGAAGTCTGTGGTTCCAACTTCTGATGTGACCATTACTTGGGGAAAAGCTGGGGTAGGCAGTATTAAATATGAAATGAAAAGCAGTAAGAAGTGCCACATTGCATTAAATGTTTTTACTTAAACTTTTGTAGCTGACCTATTGTCTGTGCTGTATTCAGTTAGAAAAATTTGCAGAGGTATTTGTGGTTGAATCTTACTTTTGCAGACCTCCCAGTCAATGCCAGTTACATTTTCCTAGGTTGTTTGGATGGTTTTTTGGTGGTGATTTTTTTTTCCTTTTTCTGTTTTTTTTTTTTTTTAACCTCTCTTGCTATTGCATTTCCTCTCATTTTGCCAGTTCTGACTAGAAACCCAAACTCTCTGCACTTAGGCAACAAATTAGTTTTGTGTTCCATCAGGATATAAAAATAGTTGTGTGTGCACTGCCTTGCTATGTTCTGATTGGGTTCAGCTCCAAGAAGGGTAAAACCATTGATGAGGAAGTACAAAAGTGCGTGGAACCCACCCTGCCCTTACTTTTACACCACACTTCCATGAGATTTGTTGAAAGACCATGCTGCAGCCTTCTTCCTTTGGCGACCTCCAGACTTAGCAGGTAAATCACCCTTCAAACACACAAGCAAACAGGGAGAACTGTGTGTCTATAATAAATTAATGGAAAACTCATTTTATTTTAAACTTCATAAAAGCCATAATTGTAAATATGACAGACTTTTAAATGAACAAACATTGCTATGGATTACAAGCAAATGAACAAGCTTTCTCCAGTTACTTTTCTGTTGGAGCTCTTAAAGGATTCTGAAGTGTAACATGATGGTAGCTGCCTCCATGGGTATAAAAATAAGCCTCTGCTGTATCAAAGTATACGTGATCACTTCAGCTGCCCTGATATGAGAATGTATGAAGCAAATGTTAACCTAGGAATTCTGCTTCTCTTTGGTATTGTCAAACAATTTATATGTCCTTTTTGAAACAATGGAAACCTCTACTGTATGTACACAAACTTAATTCTAAATAGCTGGCTGTTCAAACACCATGGAGATTGTGTGGTTAAGTGCATAATTACTGTACAAAGTAGTTACAGGACACTTGCAGTGTCATGGGGCAGATGGGATAGAAGCTGTTGATACCGTTCATCCATGGTACTACCTCTCACTGAGTCTGAGAATAAGGGATTGGGTTAACCAAGGTCTAACCTGTGTCTTCCTGAAAAAAAATAAACTGGGAGAGGTGTCTCAACCTGAGCTATAAACAGCAGCATCATGGGGTCTTGTATGGAGCTTTAAAGTAGGATTTTTAAAGGAATACACAGAAAAGGTTTTGCAATGCATAAGTAAAGAGAACATTAAAACTTCTGAAGAGGCTATATCCAGTTATTCCTCTGCACTGCTGACAGAGAGTTAAAAGTCATTTCTTTGTAGCAGTCTTCCCTTAATGAATCAGAAAATGTGTAAATCCTCTTAAAATCCCTTTCAGCAACTGGCCTCCATTTCATCAGTTACCCCCTCATCTGTGGCTCTAGCCGTAGTTCAAAACTGTACCCTGTGTGACAATCAACTTAGGAGTGCAGGATGCTTGCTGAGGCCTTGTATTTCAGTGTTTAAAAGCTTGAATTGTATGTTTAGAGGCAGAGAAGACTTAAGGATCAAGAGGTGCATGACTGTCTAACTGGAAGTAAAATAACAAATCCAATATACCTCTGTTGGGCAGCTATTTAAATTTTTGCAAGTCTTATTCCTTTCTAGAAGTCTTGCTGCATAACCCACCACCTCATGTTCTCTGTCACGGATCAAAAAATGCTAAACAGTATAGGGGAAACAAAAGCTTAACTTAGACTGTGGCCTGAGGTTGTCTTAAAATCTTCACTTTCCAATAAGTTTTCCAGATTTATTTGTGGAAAAAATATTAAAGTATATATTTGACAGAAAATATTAAAGCAAATCATAAACGCTAACATTTTTTCCTAAGACAAAATGGCAAGAAAACTTTGTTGCAAAATCAATTTGCCACAACCAGAATCTGTAGACTAGAATTTATAAGAATATTCCTCTTAAATAGTCCACCTGAGTGTTCTGTCCTATATTTAAAGGAAATGCACAGTGATGGCATTCTAGTAGCCTATGCAGGTGCAATATTTGATCAGGATTTGTTTTATATTAATAAGATTGACACTTGTCTCCATTTATGTATGGGATTTAAGATAAGCCAAATCCCCTGACTGTTCTGTATATGTAAGAAATATCAGCACATCCTATTTGGGACAGGATACTTTGTCCTTAATGCCAGACAGTGAGTACATTTCTTGCTTTTAGTTCAGTTTAGTTTTAGTTCAGCACAGTATGGAAAGCTGAGCCTTATGCTCGTTTCATACAGCATAAGCTTGGCAGTAGCTTGTGCTCAGGGGGAAAAGAAAGAAAAACTCCTTTCTGCTGAGTAGAAACCAACTACTGAAGAACAACAACAGATTTTACTGTAGGCAAGTCTACCACCTTGATCTCAAACAGCAGAGAATTTGCAAGAACTTGGTACTGAAAGCTGGCAGTTCTGGCATCTGCATTTTGTACTGCCAAAAAGATACTCAGTTGGGACTTCCTAACTACCTCTAACGTCACAGGTGATAAGATACATGCAGGACTCCACTGCGATTCTGGTTTAGCGTGAGCTAAAAACTTCACAGAAATCTGTAGGGAAAATGTGAGCTGAATGAAATTTTCATTTTGTAGGGATGAAGTTGTCCTTGACCTATACTCCAGAAGCCAGGGGGGTAACTACAATGAACCTAATCTGTTTCTTTGCTCAGCTTGTGCCCATGCAGAAACTTCCCTGCAAAAGAAGGTAAGTCACACTGTGACAAACCTGTCCCAAATTTCCTATCCCAGATAGCCTTTGAGAGAACTGCAGTCAGCAGGACATATTTTCAAAGGCATGAGCTATCAGTGCCCTTTCAGCACTAGACACTTGTTAAGCAGCTGTCTGATGAAGGAAACAAAACAAAAGAATCTTGTACTTTCTGGAGAGGACTAATAGCAGACCTCTGTGGGAGTAATTTCAGCCCACAGATATTTCTGGTGCTCCTGTAGAATTGTGTGCTCAGTTTCCCAATGGCCAAGTGACACCTGTGCTCTAAAGCAAGATTTAAATGCTACCTGTTTTGATTGGAAAACTGGCAAACTAATGTGAATGGCAGCAAAATTCCCGTGGCTGTTTTAAAAACATCCTCTCTCCCAGCTGTCAAATATTATACATTTTGTAAAAAAGACAAAATTTAATGCATTTCAGGATCTGAGGCAGTTGGTATTAAATTGAAAATTTGGTTATCTTGAATCCTCTTTAGATACAATGTATACAGATCTAGAGGAGGAGCACATATAGGAGGCTTCTGGAAAAATCTCATTCTGCATTAATCCCACTTCCACTATTTTCTTAAAAACTCTAACCCTGCTTCTGTTGATGACAGTGGCCAAGTGCTCAATTCATCCACTGGTTTCAACTTACAAGGAAAAAAGTACCTTATCAAAGATGTCTGGTATAAATCAGCAAGTGCATTCCCTGCAGCTGTGGTTTATTAGCAGGAGAGGCTTAACTAATCCTTCCCTATAGGCTGAATACTTATAAAAGTGATGAAAATAAAACATTTCTTTGCTGAGTTTCTGATGGTGGGCAGTTTCCCATCTCCCCACCAGCAACTGAGACTGTGGGGATCTTCAGATGACAATCTTTCACACCTGCTCAAGGAAGTCTATGCTGCATTCTCCGCATGCTGCTGCTGGATAACCCCCTGTCCTTACTGCTGATCAGGATCAAGCTCGGTCTGGCAGCTAGTAGGAAGAAAACCACAGAGAACCTTGTGCTGTTTTATGTACTAAAGTGACACCAATATGAACTAACAGTTCTCAAAGTACATGTAACATGAGCGAAGCTCTTAGAAATAGTTCCTTTACTCCTATATACATATTCCAGATAAGTTGGCGCATGGACTACTACATGCTCAGCAGCAGTAAATTTACATTTAGAGGTGATAACCAGTTCAATGCTTAAAACATTCAAGATAGCAGCACAAATATGTAGTAAAAGCTATTTGGTCCTGAGACTGAATAAGCAGAAATACACAAGAATATTTTTTCTTACATGTTTACTTTTAAGAATAAAATCTTTAACCCATATACCCTGTATTTTGGGAGAAGGGAATTTCAATGTTAGTTTTTCTCCTAACTCACTGGACTTTGATTCAAAGTGTGGGAAAATTGCAATAAATTGAGTTCTGCTGGTTCATTTGAATATATGCATTTTAGCCTATTCCCAAGCCTGTTGAACAGTGCTCCCTCCAGTACCATAGCAGCAAACCCCACAGCTAACTGCCTACCACAAGTAAGTGGCAATCAGTGATTCCATGCTTTTGGCTATAACTTAGAATGTAATTTTCTTTTGTGCATATGCGTAGGAAGGGTTATTCACCTGTTCTCAGCCTGTAGGACAGGTCAAAACCACCTCCTTAAACAGTACTGCACAGATATGTCTCCTCACTGCAGCTGGGACACCTTAAGAGGAGTAGTACTGTTAAAATCTAAGAAAAAAGGACCCTCTTGTTGAGGCAGGAATGTGGTGGGGATAATGTTGTAAACTCCAGCAAGTATGTTCTCCACTTCCAAGTAGCAAAATCCACACCTATGATAAAGAAAACTACCTGTTAGAAATAAGATCTGAAGTATTTCAAACCTCTGTACAGATTTCATTGAGTATTATTACCTGTAGTCACCACTGCTCTTTTTGTGAAAGCCATAGGAACCAGGATCTCCTACTGTTGAGACGGTGACGAGTTCAAAGCCAACGCTGTATTGCCTGCAAGTGACATGACAGACATCATGTATCTGGGTCATCAGGATTACCACAAAGAGGGCTATTTATTAAAACCTTCACAGTATAACAGACATCTAAAAGTGTTGTCACATTTGTGACAGAAACGTCAAGTCAAACTTACCACGATATGAATAGTGAATTTGGAGGGAGACAGAACACAACTCAGGTCTGGAACTAGACTACAGGGAAAATGCCTGCTAGAAGCCTGCCTCTGCATTTAAGCAGACTTCAAGTAGTTAAACTTGTGGAGACACACTCCTGTGCCACGTGGCACAGATCGTAGGGTGTGATCTGATCGCTGTGGGAGGACTGGGTGTCAGTGATCTCAGCAGAATTTCTCATGTTGCAATATAACTTGTGACACTTTGTCTACTACCTGTTAACACATGTGACAGGCATCACTGCCCCTGCCGTTCAAACTACCCAAATATGATCTGCAAGTACAGAAAAAAAACGCATACAAAAAACTGCTCAATTCATGGAACAGCACAGCCACACCTCTGCACTCATCTTCATTTCATGAGAGGAGGAGTTTCCTCAAAGAGGGGAGGATGGATAGAAAAGTGCTGCCATTTTGTGGGCCCCACTGTACAGCTTTGCAAAAGATAAACATTTAACTGCAGATCAGGAGATGTTGCTATTCAGAAGCTCTGAATACTGGTATTTTGAGGTAATCATTAATTTTGCCAAAGGAATTTGACCTGCATAGGTCTACTTCATAGGACATTGAGATTCAATACTTCTCCTGGCCTGCTAGTGGTAGAATAAATGCACTTTCAGAGATGTTTGAGATCTTGTAAGGGTTTAGTATCCTGCATAGTAGCTGTACTAAAAAAGAAAAGGAATTATGATCATAATTAGTTTTAAGAGGGAGAAAGAGCCCTTTATACCTTCTTCCCTTCTGTGCAAGCCCTAGCTCTGCTCAGACCCCAAAACTATAGAGAAAGGAAGGCTCCTGCTTGCCTTGTAGGTCAAGGATTTCTTTCAGTAGTAAACATGTAGGTTTAAAACACTATTGATGGTGAAGATAGAAACGTAAATAGTATTAAATTCAAGCCAGCTCTGATACCTTGTTTTCTGGATTTTCTGTGAGCTCCTCACCCTCCCCCCAAGAGGACACTGACCAAGCTTTATCTTTAGCTGTAATGCTCTGTGTTGATGCATGCTTATGCTCTACAAACCTCGGTCCCCGTAGTTCAATTAGCAATGGTCCATTCTTGTCTAGCTGGATTTGATAAATGGGGTTATTTTTGTAGGTGTCTCTGAAGTTTCCACATCCTCCGGCACTGTGACCTTTCCACTGTCCATTAACCTGAAAGAAGTCAAAAGTACAGAAAATACATCCTGAGGATTTGTATTGCTTCTATGTAAACACACAAACAAGAGCAGAGACTCCTCTCACTTTAGAGGTCACTGACTTTAGTAAGCTCTCCTCATTTTTAAAGAGAAGTGAAAGACCATGTTAAGTATTCAGAGTTTCACTGCCGTCCTTCCACCCCCCTTGATCAAAGCCTTACATCCCTTGGAAGAGTACTGTACTTTTTCAGCTTATATTACATAAGTAACAAGTGACTGTTTCTGACTATGACAGATCTATATTCCCATCTATCCCTTCTAGCCTTCTAGACTATGCAGGTTATTTTTTTTTTGCTCAGACACTTCTCTGTTGGGCTAAATGAGAAGCAGCAGTGATACAGGAAGTACAACAGTAATGGTAGTGTAACCTTTGCTTTCAAAAATTGCTGCCTCCAGCCCTGTCCATCACCTCTCTGCTCTCTGAGAACCAGCACTGCAGTGACAAGATAACCATAAGGATAGATTCCGCAAGGACAAAGACACACGAGGAAAATTGCTGCTCAGACTTTGAGAAACAGGCCATCTGTTTCCAAGTTCCTCCTGCTAGTCTTTAAACTGAAAGGTTAGACTTGTAAGACATGCCAGGCATTCACACAAATTTATAGCTGAGATCCATTTCTCCTGTTACTTCCCTCCCCTTTCTGTCAAACCAACAAGGGGCAACGTTTCTCCTTGTGATTTAATTTCTTTATTCAGTGTCTAAAACCCTCAAACACAGCAAGTTTGGAAGCAAGGGGGATTTCTCCCCCTACCATGCTGCTACCCAGGAACCTAAAACTCTGTGTGCTGTTAACCTTTCCAGCCCTTTTCTACCTCTGCTACACTTAATTCCAGGAATCACACTAGGGCTTGGGAGCTCCAGAGGTGACCACTCGACTCGAGCATAGGACATCTAACAGAACTTTCTTTTATGGGTAAACTTGGAACTAGTTCTCTACTTGCTTTTAAATGTGATGACTGCTAAGCAAACATAAAAGATGCATTAAAAACAGACAACTAACTTTTTGTATTTAATCTTAAAGACAGAGTTGGCCTTGGGTAGCTAGAACATGTCTCTTTTTTTTTTTTTGAATACTAGACAGACATCTTCAAATAATTAACAGGAGGTTTCCACATACTTAATTTTCTTTTGAAACATATTACAACATAAAACAGATGTTTTTCCTCAAACAGACTGGTATCTTTAATGCATTTTTGATCTCTTAAAGCACTCCCTCAAAGTAAGCCCAGTTTTTATGAGCTATACAGGAAAATGGTTGCTTGGAAGAACTAAGCAAATCATCTCACTGTTCCCAGGAACCTTTCTAGTAACTCACCATTCTCCAGAACAGGCTAGCTTCAAGGGGCTTTTCCAGAAATAACATCTGGTATGGAACACTGTCTGAACTCGAGAGCCTCGCTGCAAGCCAGCGTGTGCCCCTGACCACACAAAGTAATGCAATCCTTGGCTTCAGGCACAAGTGTCCTAGAAAATGGACTTCTACTGTGGCTCAAGCTCCCTTGTTTCTCTCTTCCTGAAGAAGTTACTATTTGAACAGAAAACTTCTGATTATAGTAGATTCCCCAGGGTGTGCATGGTAGGTACAGAGCTAAAGTTGAGAGCTGCTGGCTTATTCTTTCTTGGGGGTAAAATTGCTAATATATGAAAATACATGCAAGTTACTTTATCCTGTGAGCTCTTGGCTATATTTATACTTCAGCTGAAGGTGTAACTGCAGCTCACATTGACAGCTGAAATATGAACAGCAGCTGGCCCCAAAACTGCCTGGGCTTCTGACTTAATTTCAGTCAAGTTTTTCACTCTTGCCCCTGTTGGTGTATTTTGGGGAGCATTTCAACGTGAAATGTACCATGGGTATATTGCTTTCATCCTGTTTGGCAATGGGAGTGCTTATCCCAATGGTGACAGACCTTTGAGATGTCTTTGCAAAATTTAGGAACTGTATGTATTGTGATATTGCCATCTTAAGTATGTTTGTCACAGTCTTGCTATTGTGGCTTTGGTTTGACGTTGCTGATTTTGTCCCATCATGCCAAGAGTTTTCCCAAGAAAATCATGCAGTTCTCCCAAGGGGAGACAATAAATGCTTTTGTGGGGTTTTTACTCTGTAGCATTACTAGCACAGTCTGACCTCTGCAGAGAGATGACTTACTAGGGTACAGGTTCTAAAGGCCAGTCTATTCTACAAAGGCTTTGCAGAATGTCTGCAGTGGCACAGCTCCAACCACACACTCTGCAGTGAAGGTGGAGAAGTAGTATAAAAATACATTTAAAAACCTTGTACGCCTCAAATATGGAAAAGCCAAACCAGAATTATTTTCCAGTGACCCATAAAATAAAATGTTTCTTTACCCGCTTGGAAATGGTGTAAGGTGTAGGAATCTTGGAAAAGGTGAACTTGCACAAGGAGTACACCTGTGTTGTAGAAGAAGCAGCAGGTCACACATTCACCTTGCACTTTTCATATGAAATCATAACAAATTTAAAAAAAAAGAATTGCTTACACAGTATTTTTAGATACTTATTCGCTACATGCCCGTATTACCCATCAGACGATCCTGTGTCAAACTTAAAATCCTGAATAGTGCTGGGACTAACAAGGCTTAGTTCTACTTAATTTTTATTTAAACAAAAGGCAAAATGGAAACATTATTTTTAAGTGACAAAAAGAGATATCTAGCATTGAACATCACCTGACTGAGTAGTTAGAGAAAAACCCAAATACTAAGTCCAAAGACTTTGAGGAGTCAAAAAAATTTTAAATCTTAACTGGGATCTAAAATGGGCATATTTTGGATACACAGAGAGCCAATGATCTCCCTGTACACAGATTTTTTTTATTCTAGGAAATAAGAGTATTTTTCAGCTGATTTCATTACTGAAATTTCATTGCTAAATGCATGTACGCTGTTTTAACTACAAACAGAGAACCTTACCAAATACTTCATCCAGAGGTTCTGCTCCATCATTCATAGCCTCCCTCCCCAAAATAGCAATATGAACCCAGAAGTACACTCTTTAATCAAATTTAAAAATAAAGGATGTTTTTTTAGTTGCTTACATTCATTATAAAACCCACAGCACATACCCTGATGGTGTAATGGATAGTGTTTTGTTTCTCATACTGGGACACCACTAAGGTAAATGTATGGGGCCCTGGAGAGGTCAACTTTATCTTAGTCAGATAATGAGGACTGTTGATCCGAATACCATCGATATACGGAGGAGGATCAGCTGAAAAAGAAAAGGATGAACACTCTTCTGGATCAAAAAATCCCCCACCTTGGTAAACTTCTACAAAGATTAGACTGTGAACAGACCTGAGTGCTTTGAAAACAACAGAGCCTCAAGACTTATAAAAGGACATATAATCATAAGAGCAACTGCTTTTTTCAGGAGAGGTACATCACACATGACAGAACACATGTTCTGCACTTGAAAACTACAGCTTAAATCCCAAGACCTGCAAGAACTGTTTATCTATGCCTCACCAACATCACATATAAGACCTACATGTGATCATGTTGAAATTTCACGAGAAAGACAAGGAATGTTTGAGCACTCTTTAAAAAAATCTCTGAGGTGTCTGTTCCTTCTCTGTTGGCCATACAGTTCCAGAATGCATGCTGCCTAAATCTTTGGCCACTGGGTAAACAAGACTTAAAACATGTTCTTTTGACTATATCACACACACTTTTTCTCTCTCTCCCCAAATCCTTGTGATCATTACACAGATGTAGTTGCACCCCAGTACCAAACCACATGTGGTACTTAGAAACATCCTAAATGTTTGCTTTTACAATTAGACAATGTAATTTGTTATTTGGCCTCTAATTGGTTCTTTCCAGACTTCTTTTAATTTCAGTGAAGCAGGACCAAATCTAGCCAATTACTTCAACAGGCTCAGGATCAGGTCCTTTTATTTTCTTCCACAAAGCAACATGGGAGAGGGGAAAGGATTAATATAAAACAATAAGAAGCTTAGGAATGAGAAATCTCAGCCTTACTGCCAAAGGATTAACCTGCTTTGTTCTGATCTTATTTTAACAGATGGTTAAAAATAATACTGCAGCTTGACCAATCTATTTCCATGGAAAAAGGTTTTAAACAAATTTGAGTTCGTGAGATTAAAAGTTTTTAAAAGAGTTTGGAAAGCAAGACAAAACATATGAATCATTCAGTTCTTGCTAGTGATCCTGCTAAGAAGACTGTCTCTTTCAAGCACAGCAGAATTCCCTCCACTACACAATGTGTTTGGTTTGCCCACTTAAGAATGTTTTCAGTGAGACACACGTAAAATAAGCACTACTGCAATTACTAGCAAAACCAGAAGCAAGTCTTGGGCTGTAAGGAGAAGCAGATGCTTTAACAAAATCAGCTCTTGCAAAAACAGGTGATGATTTGGTCAGGTCTCAACAGATGCTTTCAGCAGAAAGACAGCTTGGATTCTAGGGAAATTGGTCAGCAGAGTTCACTTAACAAGACCAGATGTGAACAATGCAATGCTTACCAGCGTGTCTCAGCCTGTGTTTCAGATCTGCTATCTGTCTTGAACTAAAGCATACGTGGCTTTTTCCCAGCTACAGCAAAGCTCCAAAAGCCAAACCCTTTCTTCTCAAGGTCAGTAGAATCTGACCTATAATGACCAAGACCGGTATTTTGATAAAATTTGAACATATAAGTGTTTTTCTTAAATATTCCTGGAAATATGTTGAAGTGTTCACCAGAATCTCATAAGCTTGCTTAGGTACTTTATTAAGCCAAATTCATAGAACAATTAACCTTGATTATATTCATTTAGTGGAAGCTGCAGACCTTTAAGTAATTTCACAAATGTAGGAAATAATTATGCTATCAGAGAAACAGAAGAGCAGCATCTGTTCCCTCTAAGCATTAAGTACTGCCACTGCAAAATAAACAGAAGAATAAAGAAAATGCTGCAGCAAAATAAGTGTCAGCAGGATTATGTAGATCTTAGTGTGCTTCCAACATGTAGCTTATTCCTTCAGTGTAGACTGTTGAAGGTGATCAGAGCTAAACAACTATTTCATAAGATTGACCTCTTAGTGAGGCATCTAGTCTTAAATCAAAAAATGCCTTTCCTCTCCACAAAATTCTTTGTAATTCCTCATTTATTTATAATATAATTTTCTTGACAATTAAGGTACACTAACCTGGATAGTAAACTTTTTTGCCATCAGTCTTGTACACAACCATTGTAATGAACTCCCGATTGTGTGCAAAGTCATCCTATAAAAAAACCAACCAGACACAAATCAAGCAGAGTTGTACACTTCTATGAAACAAAATTAATGCTTCCTCAGAGACAAGTACACATTCTACCATCCTTTTTGATCACTGCATGATATGACCTGATATTTATATTTACTGAGATGCCCAATGCAATTCTTTTTAAAATGCCTGAAATAAATAAACTGCCACTAATTTAACCTATTCAGTCCCCAGGATTGAAAGTTACTTCAGAACCTCTATGGTGGAATAGAACCACTTAGCTCAGATGTTACTCTGGGTCTGTTTCAATTTTAGATATGTGTACCTGCTGAATTTAAAATTTATACATACACACACAGGCATACACACCTGAACATGAAACATGAGTAGTAATATACCAGTAACAGAAAGCTTTACAGAAAGGTTTACGGAATAAGCACCCAGCACCTTGTCAGTGATGTGCCTGCTGAGCAGGACCCAGACGGCAGCACCACCCTGTGGACACTGAACTTCCAGCTTGTACTGAGGATTGTTGGCCAGGCTGTAGGCATCCTTCACCGGGCCCTGCTTTGCATCCCAGGTACTGAAAGTGATACAGACATGGTGTTAGATGAGTAAGAAACTAAATCCTACTTTGAAACTAACTCCAAATCCTACCTATACAGAGAGCTAGCTATTACCAGTAAGAAGACAGAACACAGTCTCATCAGAAGCATTATCTTAGAACATTGTTTTATAAATGAGTTCACTACAACACATGTATGATAATAAAAAATGCTAAATACAAACAGACTGGCTGGTGACTGCAACCACACAAAGCCCAGAAAAAAATGAACCAATCAGGGAGCCTGAGCTACACATATTCTAGTCATGACTGCATACACCAATATTAAATGAAAAACACCTACGCTACTGTAACTGCAGAAATCCATCTATAAGCTATGGTTAGTTCCAAAAACTTGCCAAATTTTTTCATCCAGTTTTTTTATTGAGGCAATTTTTATTTTAAAATTTGATCTGTTTCATGTCTGGAAGGTTGCCATGCGGGAATTGTTAAAGATCTTTGAGGTATCCTACTGCAGAATCTGCCTGGTGCCTCATGAACTATCGAGACAAGGAAAATACAATCTGAAAAAACAGCAAGTGCTGATGGCTGAATGCAAAGTGCAGCATACTGGAAACAGAAACATATACAGCTATTCCTAAGTCTCACTGACCCTCCCACATTTTTAAAACTGAACAGTATTTGTGGAAGGCTGCATTAACTAAGCTTCAAATTATCACCATCATTACTCCACTTTTTATGACAACTGCCGCTGTGCTAAGGCATTTCCCTACACAGAGGTACGAGAATCACTAATAACATAAGGACAGACAGACCAATAGGTGAGCTTTGACATTAGCATACACGTTACCTCATCTTACTATACCACCACAGTGTATTTTAGAAATAATTGGAACACAAACAGCCTTTGCAGATAAGCTCAGCAGTCACACTCTGGATGAAGGAGCTTGTGCAGAGCTAACACAAGCAGAAGCAGTTGTGGAAGTAGTGGCAAAGTGCAGTATAGTGGAGTGGAAAAGTAAAGAAACACTTGCTTTCCAAAACCAAGACACACTTAAACTGGGAGACAAAAAACCTGAATGTGATGGATATTTGGTAAGAGATGGGTCTCACATTCAGAAAAAAAAATCAGCGGCAAGGAAGATTACTTATGATAGTTACAACTGGTGAAAAACAGAATTGGTTAAACTACTCTGACTTCAGTGAACACCTGTGAAGACAACACATGCTGCACAGCAGACTTGCAACTGGTCAGAAAAATTAATTCCAAATAAAATTGAGGTCACTCAAGCACTGTCTGGTCACTGCTTAGAGACAGACTGCACAAAAATCTTGATTTCTATTCCAATAGATGTGGTACTGAGGTCAAAATCTGGTTATGCAGTCTTAGGTCCACAGCAACATCACAAAGGTCACTGGAGCTTCAACTCTGTTACAGAAGTAGTCAAGAAGAAAGCCTGGGTTGAGAATTTAAAAGTGTGAAATCAGGCTCAAAAGAACATGGTTGGAGTTCAACCTCCTAGCTGTAACTAGGAAGAATGGAAGGAAACATCTATTCAGAACACTTACTGAGATTTTGACACAAAAATTTTATCTTTTGGACCAACCTGTGAATACATGTAGATTCTTTGAAAAGACTTGGGTTCCAACTCAAATAAATAACATCATAGTACTGGCACAGGTCCTCCCAGGAAATCCAGAAAATGCCTAAAAAGGAAATGCTGTTATTGTTTTCTTAGCAGATATCTTGATTTTACTTGTTTTTCAAAAGTCTCTTTCTGGGCAAATGATACAGCTTATATTAGCCAACATTTCTGCAAATCTTAGTTTGCAGAACTGCATTGCCCAAATGTTTAAATTTAAACAAACAACTTAAAGCAAGAAAAAACAAGTTAGTCTCTGCTTATTATCAAGAACTTTCTGAAGCTGTCAGAATGCCTTTCATTCTCAAGCACTAAGCAGAAGGTGTGAGAGGATCTGTTGCATTGAAAGAGACGTCATTAGGTGATTCTGACCTGCCTTCCCCTTTCCTAGGTTTCTGAAAACAAAAAGGACACAGTCAAATGGGTTCCTGCAATTCAACAACGTCCTTCAGTAATCATCCAGCACAATCAAGTATTCAATCAACATATGAGTATGTTTGAATGTATTTCTAAGATACTTCATCCAATGCCTACATCACTTGCTTTGGCACCCTGAATTTGCTTCACCTTTACAACACCTTCACCTTTACTTCTCCCTTACAACTTCCTTTACAACATAGCTCCCTTAATTGCAAGCTCCGGTAACTCCAGCCAACAAGAGTGCCTGCAAAACAATAGATTCCTAATGGAATGAACTCTTAAAATGGTAACAGCCTTATAATTCAAGTCTCTGACAGAGGCAGCTGCAGATCTTGCAGCACTAAAAAAGTCATAATAGCTACACAGAGAAAGTAAGACCAGAGTGCAAATCCAGTTAGAAGGAGCAACTCCATTAAAATTACTAATGTAATTTTATATAAGATTTTAACTACTAGATGTTACAAACTACTTACTAAATGAATTGGTAAATAAATAATGAGCCCTCATAACTTTCACAAAGCCAGGGCTGCTATTCTTATATTTTAATCAGAAGTTTTCCTTATGCATTTGCGTGAGGCTTATCAATAAATGCTCTTCATAAAAGAGTTTGGTGAAATAAACACCTGAAGAAAAGTACAAAGATCAGTGTTTACAGAGCCATTGTGCTGTCTGCTCTCTTATATGGATCTGAATCATGGGTCATCTACCGCCACCACCTGTGTCTCCTAGAACGCTTCCATCAATGCTGTCTCCGTACAATCCTAAACATCCACTGGTCAGATTATGTGACCAATACATCTGTTCTAGAACAAGCAGCAGTCACAAGCATTGAGGCCATGTTGCTGAGAACACAGCTGCGCTGGGCAGGGCATGTCTCAAGGATGAAGGACCACCGCCTCCCTAAGATCTTGCTTTATGTGAACTTCCACGGCTGCGCAAGAGAGGAGCCCCCCCCCCCAAAGAAAAAGAGACCAGGACTACCTGAAATAACATCTCAGCCTTGGCCATATTGGATCACGGCATAACTGGTCTACTCTGGCCCTCCAACCGGGAAGGTCTGAGACACAACACCATCTATAACGCTGCTGATGCCTTTGAGAAAGCACACAGGATCACTCTTGAGGAGAAAAGGCAACACAGAAAGAATCGTGTCTTGCAGAATATACCACCTAAGGAGTCTTTCTGCTGTGCCTTTTGCAATCGGACATGTCTATCTCGTATTGGCCTTTTTAGCCACCAGCGTGCCTGTAACAAATGTGGGTAGAGCCCTCCCCAAATCTTCGTTTGCGAAGCCTAGCCATGATGATGATGATGATCAATAAATGCTATAATTTAATGGATTTGGATGTATACTGTCGTAGAAACAGAGTGGCACTGAACAAAAGGGCTCCCTCATAGAGATATGCAGACAGCAACTAGGATACAGTAAAAAGCAGAAATCTCTTTTGGAAAGTAAAATGCAGCTACTGTAGAATTTGTAAACTATTGGCAACCTGTCCTTCCACCACCAAACCCACACTGACTTTCCAGATACAATACTCTGCTGCTCCCTTAGAAAGAAGGGACAACATTGGGCATCATTCCAAGTGGTTTCTCTGAGCAGGGACATACTAGTACCACTGTCTCGAAGATGGATCTCAATCTAATCTTACAACCTGAAACAGAGTGTATATAATTAATCTATCTATAAACAAATCTTCAATGTAATGCAAGGGAGAAAGAACCCACTTACCTCCAGTACAGGCAAGACTAATTTAAATACTGATTACAGTAAGCATGCTGTACGTATTTGCTAATGTCATAGGGAAAACCCCACAGAAAGTCCAATGACATATTAAAAAGCATGTTCTCTTTGCAATGAACTCCCCCACACTCAGATGCTGAGACAGCAACACATAAGGAAGGAGGTACTTTCTTGTCAGTGAATTTGAGATATATTTAACAGTCCAGATTACTTAAACCTCAAGTCAAACCTGAAATGACAGATTTAGATACAGAAATACTTCCTAAACTTTTTGGACTATTTAATTCGTAGTATTTGTTTTACTCTCCTTGTGCTTAAGCATTTCTTTCCACCTTCCTACAAGGATACATGACAAAAGTCTGTATTATTGGAAAAAAATAGTGAATTCTCAAACTTTATTACCATTGTCTATTTTCTGAGCTGTTCTTGGATCAAAGTTCAAGTATTTTTGTAAATCTGGGGTCCAATTTCTTGTGTCATTTTCACTGTATCGTCCCTTCCAACGTAAGTGGCTCCAGGGATTTTTCAACTGAAGAAATCTAAGTCCCTATAGAAATATAAAATAAAATTCATCTTGTCAGGGTAATTTTTACATATTCAAGGTATTTTTATATGGACCAATAGCTAAAGAAAAGACAGCATCATTAAGTTTTCTGAAATTTCACAGTGGAGACCAAGACAAAATACACTATATTAGCCATTAGAGAAAAAAATCAGTAGCTGCCCACCTAAGGTAAACCTAGAAACCCACTGGAGTTTTCAAACAGGCATCTGAAAACACGTTCAGTTTTATTTGATACCTTATATTCTCTTATGTCCAAGACTGCATATGCATGGGTTGGAACTAAACCCCATTTTTCTCCTTCCTCTTCAGACATCACCCCTGTTGCTGTGGTAATAAGGACATCTCCCTTGTGAAATCTGTTCAAAAAGAGATGAAAAATACCTTAATTAAAACCTTGCAAGTTGCAAACTAATGTTTGCCAGAGCCTGTTATAGTACGTTTTTAGACTGTCCATTAGCATGCCTTTGGTTTGTGGTCAGCAGAAATCACTCCTGAAAAAGCTTAAGAAAGTGGAACTATTTTTCTTTCAGAATTAAGTATACACTTTAAGTGAAATATTATTTTTTTAATGTAACTTCATATTTTCATAAACATAATTCAGCATTTATCAACCTGAAGTTCGACCTGTGTCACTTTTTAAAGATACTCTTCACAGATCTTCAGCTGAGCACAAACGTGGTTTCATCAACACTTAGCCAAGCACTGCATGTAGTAAATTAATAACGCTGTCACACCCCCAGGATTCTGAAGGTGCTTTCCAAAACCTGAAGAATGAGAAGTTCGTGCTTCTGTACTTTTGCAGGTGTTTACACTCAAGTTTTGTGTTATGAATAGCAATTGTTAATTTTGCAACAATTATTACTCTGAAAACACACTAGCATGTTTTGCAGTCCATGCTAGAATTCAAGTACAGACTCAGTGTCCCCAGACAGTGTACAGGGTCACTGGGCTATGGATCAAAACATTTTCAGTCTAGCACAGGTAAGCAATAGTAATGGCTAGATACCATTCTAACTGCAGTCACACCTCCAAATTACAGTGCTGGAATATCTGAAGAATTGTTGACAGACATCTAAAAAGCTCCTAACCAACTGAAAAAGCACTGTCAAAAGAGTCATGCTCTTCTATCGTGAATGCAGATGTTTCAGTCATCAGAATAACACCTCTCTACTGCACTGATATACATAAGAAACTGGTTGCACAAAACCATTTTGAAAGAAATCCAAGTATTTGATTGCTGGCATTTATAAATTGCAGCTATGCCTTTCACCACAAGTAGAATAATAGAATCATTTAGTTTGGACCTTTAAGACCATCAAATCCAACTGTTATGGTATGTCTGAAGACAAATATGGCTGTTATGGTAGATTTTTGCTGCTACTCCAGGACACTTACTAATGGGGCATAATCTTGTGATATGATTAGAAATACTATATTATATCTGCTTGCTAAGGACAGCAGATAAGTGCATAAGTTCCGGGGAGCTGTGTGAGAACAACTTTTAAACACTTAACTTTTATGTTAGTTCCAAGCTGCTCTTCTCTGACTCTGTGTTCTATTTTCTTCATCAAGAAAACGGCTACTATTATTTTTCTTCATATGTAAAGAATCAAAATTCCACAATATTTTACTCTTCTGTTTTATCAAAGCCACCAATACCTCAATTTTTCTTCTTCCAGAAAGTACATAGGGATTTTATAAAGCACAATCTGTAGCAATACCAAAATGCTATCAAAGGATCTGTGATGACTGTACTGCTTTTACAGTGGTAATGCACCTACTACACAGCAAGCATTTTAATTACTTAGGAAAGAAAAAACATCTACCTCTGATAAAGCATTCTGAAAGTACTGTCTTTATTGAAAGCTTGATTGTCAGAGTGCATAGCAATTCTTTCAGGTATCCAACCAGTCAGTGCATGGAGATCAATATTCTGAAAAGCAAATATTCAAAAGAAATCAGAACAGATCCATCAGCATATGACATCTTATAAAAATGCCTTGAAAGAAATCAAGTATACACACGTTACAGTACAACTCTAGACCTAAAAGGCTCAAGATAAAGACTAACAAAAAATTCTTTGATTAGGTAAGGACAACATTTCCACATCGTTTCACAAAAACAAAATGAAAAACAACAGAAACAAACAAAACCCCCAAAAAACCAAACCAAAAAAACCCAAAAAAACCAACAAAACCCCCAAAAAATCCACCCCCCCAAAAAGCTGGAAATTTCAGAGTAACAGAAGCATAAGAGAATCATCAGTCACACGCATTTGTGTGACGTGTTCTATTTATTTCATTGATTCACAAATTCTTAAAGCACAGTCTCAAAAGCAGTATATATGCATTTTAAATAATTTAAGTTTTACTTTAAGGCTCAGGGTTTGGTTTTTTTATTCTTTTTGGTAAAGCTGACACTGACATGTATTTCCATAAAAAGATGCTTTAATCTCCCAACTCCTTGAAACATTGCTTATTCCTTTTCTTTTGCTTTTTACTCCTCAAAGCAAAAGCAGACACTCTAAATGCTTGAAGTGTCAATAACCAGCACTGCTGGGTGGGAACTTGAGGAATTACAAGTACAAGACAGCCAGTAAGTAACCCTGATTACACAAGGAAGCTAGAATATAGCAGAAACCAGAGGGGGTGGGAAGGGTGGAGATTAAATGTCACAAGTCAAGCTATTTTTCCAGATAGCAAGTTAGAGAACAACAATGAGAATAAAACACATCTATTCTCACCAGCTTCTGTCCTTCAAAACAAAGCAGCTTGACACTGACATATGCACAGATAAAAATGTGTGCTACATTTACCCCTTACACAAAGCCACATTTGTTCCATAATAATTTTTCAAGGGATGATGATTACCTAGTATACCCTCCAAGAATGTGATTAACTAGATTGCGAACAGCACCATGAAATGAAAAAATATACTATTAAAATTTTAAAGAATTTTAAAGTGAAATCAGAAGGGCTTCCTAAGTAACAAATTAAGATTATAAGGGATACTCATTTCAGTAAACTGTCCCTCTCTGAAAGAATAATTTGCATGCCAGTTTAGCTGCAGTACAATCAATGACTGTTTCTTTAGTAACCACATTATAGGAACCCAATACATATTCATGTAGGTGAGTGGAACAATCTGATAAACAAACTTGCACAGATCAAAGTACTTGCTCCCTCCATACACGTACTGAATGACTAGCCCTTTCCTAGCTGACTCCATTACCTAATGAGGGAGAACTGCCCTATTGAGTTAGAAACCAAAGTCAACAGTATTGATATGGGCAAAGAAATTTTATGACTTCACCCAACACTTTCATCTAGGCTTTATATAAAACACATGTACTTCCCACCCACAAATGTCAATTAACTCAGACCATCAAGATATCTTGCTCATTCTACTTTGATAGAATAATTTACTTAAGTACAGCTAAGAATATTTGAAAGAAAGAAACAAAAAAAAAATTAAGAAAATGGTAAACCCAATACTTGTCTCCCCAAGCAATTCACTTTGATTACACTAGAAGGAAATTATTTGACCCAATATTATCTAAGTGGAATTTCTTCCTCTAAGAAAAAATCTCATACTTACAGAATTTGATCCAGGAAAATCATATCCTCCCATGACCTTCATGTAAGCCTTTTCTATTAGTGACACCCATAATTCATTCTTATTATTAGAATAAGAGCAGAGAAGTTCCCCACTATGATCAACAGGTAACTGGTCATCTATGATTACCTGTTTGAAATGAATGAAAAATCATCATAAACCTAATAAAATAATTTGAAAGTGCTTAGGAAATAAACCAAACACCTCATTAATACACAGCTTCTCAGATACAACCAGACCTGACCATTATTCTCTCACGTTAACACCTCTATCAATTCTGCAGTGGTTTGCCCAAGTGAAAAAGAAATTCTGTTGCCATCTCTGACTTGCACTGGCCCAACTGAGTGTCCAGTGAACAGCTGCCTCTCTTTCCCATATGTAAAACAGGAATGACGACAGTACAGTCTTATAAAGTGTTTAATATCTATTGCAAAAGGTACGTGCAGAAACGTTCAGTGTAATAACAAGCATAAAAAAGTAAAGAAAAGCCAAACAACATTCCTCAACTAATTAGGAATCAAGAGCATGGACTGTGCTTGGTAGCCAGCAGAAAAATAAACATTTATTTGTCTATAAGGAAACAAACTGTGTCATATCACTTTCATAGCCTCTACTTCCAGATTTAAGTTTCTTCCCTCTAAGAGGGAAAACAACTCATAGCAGCAGCTGTTACAGTATTAACATTTCTTCCTTGTATTGGGTAGCATATATTCCTCATTATCACAGATTGTTCCTGCATACTTGTAGTGGTATGAGACAGTTTCCCTGAATAGATTTTCAGTTTTCTGTTGGCATTAGTCCATTACATACAGGCTACCAACACAGCACATTTTCTGGTCAAATCCTGTTTGTGCAAAAATGAATAATTCTTTTCATAGAAGAGCAAATGGCCATTCATCATAACAAAAGGAAGCCATTAAGAGGTATTTTGGAAGGGGTAATAAGAGCAAGGCAAACACATAAATGATACTTTCTTGAAACATTCCGATTCCAGAATTTTGCAGCTTGAGGACTTCCTGACCCAGAGGTTATATCTTAGCAATTAAGAGCTTTTGACGAGTTTTGCCTTACTCCCCCACCCCCCATGAATATGCTCACTCTACTTCTGAACTCCCCTAAACATTCATCAGACAATATGATCTGCAATAATCAGTGCTACGATTAAGTATCATATGGAGAAATACATTATTTTATGTCCTTATTTATTGTGCTGAAAAGAAAATTAAGTTTTTTGTCAGTTTAAAAACTTCTGTGTTCAGGCATCTCCTCTCCATACTAAAAATCTGCAGTCAAGTTACTCCTCTATGATCATTCCATATCTATACTCTGCCTGGATGTCCCCCTCTGTACTTTTAAATTCTGTAACTTCCTTTCTAAGATGGGGTGGAAAAGTGCACATCCAATTCATAAATATGGGATATGTAGTTTTGCTCCTGTTTGGTTTTCATAATTCTTTTAAGTGATATAAGGATTTTTTTGCTATGCAAGCACTTCACAGTGAAGCAGACCAAGCCTTTAAAATACATGACTTAAACAGTAATAGCACTAAGTGTCCCCAAAACCATTTACCTTTCTAGGTACACCATTGATATGAAGCTTCACCATGTATTTACCACATGGATTATACTCTGGTTCCCCTTTCTTATTCTGAGGGTAAATTATACTGTTAATAAAAAAAAAAGAAAAAGAGGAAGTTGTGACAAATTACTTGGCTGATAACAATAAAAGTGGGATTAACACAGTTTGTTTCTGGAATTTATACTTAAATTCAATACAGAATTTTTAATGAAAGAGCAACTCAAATTTAAAGTAAAAAATAATAATGTGGAAATAGGTTTTATTTTTCAGGCCTTGCTTTTCCTGCAGCTTTCTGCTTAATATAGTAGCAAAAAGAACATAAGTAACCTAATTGTTTCTCAAACAGAAGCAAGGCAAACAAAATTATCTTATTATTAAACAAATGGTATTTACATATCTCTAATGTCATTCAGGGAAGTACTGTATTTATAAGTTAAACATTTGAAGAAGAAGGCAGTGCAGAACTCACTGTTCTTGAAAAGAACACAAGTTCAGTTCTAATGAGAATAGGTTAAAATGAAGCAATCCAAAAACATTCACACACTGGTCTGGCAAGGGGCTCCCATCAAAGTCCACAAAACTCATGGCAAATTTATCATGGGATGCCCAACGAGTGGAACTCAGACAGTTTTGCTAACATTAATTCTACAATGAGTTGCAATGAAACTATAAAGCATTGTAAGTAAAATTTCTATTAAAAAAATCCCAAACAAATAAAAACCCCTTCCAAACTATTCATTACTCCTTGAAGCAGATCTAAGTTAAACACCAATGTCTGTATACGTATCTATATATAGTTGGCTCTCCTCTTAGAAGTGCTGAAACCACAAGTCCAAGGGAGATGAAGGTGAAACAAATGCTAGTTTTTACTGTGTACAAGTGTCATGGAACATCTTGCAAAAGCTTGGCAGTATTAAGTCCAGAAAGACCTTAGAAAGCAACAGCTACTTACCTCGTGATCAATTTTTTGTTATATCTTCTTTCATATGCTGCACTGATAGCCAGTGATGCCACAAAAGAGCAATCTGACACTATTGTCTACAAAGAAAAGAAAACCAGTGAGGTCATTTACTAATAACTCAAATACTGAAAGATGAATGCAGTGTATGGAGGGAAGGAAAACCATCAGTTAGTAATTGCCTTCAAAAAGGAAAGCTTTAAACCAAGAGAAACAAAGTCACTACTAAAAAGGCAGGAAGTGTATGCTTGTTCAACACGAGTCCCCTACAAAGCAAACCAAAGTCAGAATTACTAATGACAATCAGAGGCAAGCACAGATACCTCAGCATGCATTCACACTTACTCCTTCCTCCCAAATACCATATCCAAGGGCATAATCTATTACAGATTCCAGAATAGTTTGGACCATCTGCAACTTGACACTAGGATATGTCCCCGTTCTCAATGGGCCACTGCTTCCCATCAAATAAAAATTTAAAGATCTTGCTCATTATTTTTCCCATGCACTAAATGAAGTGAGCAATTTGCTGCAGAGTACACCTTGCCTTTTTCATACTACCCTTACCACTATCTCTAGAAAACAGGATTTTCAGCTGGAATTCAAATTCTAATTGTCACTGTCACTGTTAACACCTGTTTATTCTTGTGGACAGAAAACTTATGGAATTTATTTATTTATTTAATCTCATGAGGGCCAAGGAATGAACTCTCACATTTGGGGATTCCTTTTTGAACAAGAAAGTTCCCTGGGAGCAGCACACATTTCTCTTTAGGAACAATTTACCTGCTTTATGCTGAAACTTGATACAGTGTAGATCATGGTAGGGTTATTTGTTATGTCATCTGGTCGCACCCATTTGGCAAACATCGCTTTCTGTTTGGGGGATAATGGTAACTTCCCGCATTTATCACTAGATTTAAAAGAGAAAAAAAAAGTAGAAATAAATCAGTAGCAGTTTAAAAAAGCTTTTCATGGTTTGACCAATCCTATGTACATCTGATAGATTGTGCAAAATATGTACAGAACAATTAAAAAGCTGTAAAACAATTTCAAAGAACATCACTTCTAAGTGTGTGATTTTTAGAGGAAAAAAAATAAAAATATGAAATAAAACCCAGGAGTTTCCTTCATGAAAGATTGAACAGAAGGGAATTCCAAAAAGCCACCTACACCAGTAGAAACTCAAATTCTGCACTTTATTTGAATATGATGAACCTAATAATAAAAACTTTCTTTAGTTTTGAAAATTGAGGCTTGTTTGATTGATACGCCTTTAGCAAAAAATTGGGAAAAAACCAAACCAAAATAAAAAACCAATCCCAAGTGTCTTTGTCTGTTATGGCTATGCAATCTTGACATATTATTATTGCTCATGAATGAAGGTCTAGCAGTTACATATCACTCTTCCTCGGAATAGTCCTTTACAGAGGAAGCAGTTGCCACCCTCAGTTTACAGGTAACTGATGCAAAGGGAGCTAAACTCCCTGTAGAGCAGAATCAGATAATGGGACCAAGTTGCCAGCCCAGCCCAATATTCCAAAAAGTCAAATATAATGTTGTCCTTATAGGCCTGAAGGCACAACTGCAAAAGCACTATACAGCAAGGTCAGCCTACAATGAAGTCTTAAGTTCAGAATGGAAGAAGGAAGTGGTAGCATTTAAGTATCTCTGCCTGAATTATGATTAAAACCCTACCTTACCAATTTTAATCTCCTAAAGAGAAAACACAGAAATACCAAATATGGGAAAGTTTTGAAAATAAAAACAAAAGTGAAGTTCAGAAATTGAACCATACTTACGAAAAAGGCATAGGGAAAGCAAAACGTTCCCTCAGATCGACACTCATGAAAGGTACATATTCAATGCCATTAATTTTTGAAGTCTTCCTGAAAGTCATAACAAAAAAAAAAAAATATAGTTACAAACCTATCTATCATCTTTCAAAGACTAAGTTCCAAAAGGTAATAGCAACAAAATCAGTTTTTAAAAGCTAACAAATCAGTGCTTCTGAAAACTAGACAACTGCCACTTGAAATCGATGTATTTGATAGTTTTAAAAATTCAAAATTTAGGCTAAAGGTTTTATGGATTATTTGTAGCTTATTCCACCTATAACAAAAATTTAAGCAAAAGGAACTGGATGCAACAGAAGCCACAGTCCTACAAAATATTATGCAACCTCAATTTCCACTGCAGTTGCTTAATCTATGAAAACACCTCTGTACTTTGGCTTCTCAGAGCCAGATCTCTCATGAACTCATTTTGGAAAATCTTCAACTTACCTGAGCACTTCAATCTCCTCTGCAGTGTATCTCTGACCTTGAGGTTCACTAGCTTGTACTGCTCTGATTGTCTGTGGTTTATCATTTAAAGAAAAATCAGGTCCCAATGGGAAGAATGTTCTCACTGGCTGATTTGGTTTAGCTGCAGTTGACTTTTCTTTCTGAGATGACTTTGACATAGATTCCTTCAGTGCCTCTGCTCTAAAGCAAATAAAAATGCATTTTACTTACAACAATGATAAAAACATAGTTATGGTTCAAATACTCATTTTCTTGGTTCATGTTCCCACATATATTACATGGAAAGAACAAATGCCCAATTTGTTCACCACTTTCCCTAAAAAAACCCCAAAATCTATTTCTGATGCTGGTACTTTACTTTCCTGTTCTTGAATCAATTAAAAGATAGCATTTCCAACTCACATAAGCTACTTTTGGCAGAACTCATTAGATTTTTATTGCCTCTAAATTACGCTAATAGGAGAATTTGTGTAAGTGTTCATTATCTGGAATCTCAAAACAAGATCACCGAAACACAGAGAGAGAAAACTGATTTGCACCCTCTCATACCTTCCAGACTTATTTTGTCTAGCAGCTACAACAGCAGTAAAAACCCACAGGCATTCTCACAACCGAGCATTTCAACTGCTTGAAGACTGTGTATTCAGGAGCCATATTTTGTTATTGCTGCATTAAGCTGGTGGATGGTCACACATGCAAAATACTGATTTCTTTCTGATCACAGACCAAGCAGTGCTAAAAACCAGCTTTCATACTGAAACTTTGCCCGACATAGCCCATGATTCACCATCAAACAGCTGATTTTAGAAGAGGTATCTTGAACTTATACTTGTGCAAATTGTTTCAGACAGACACTTTATTACACATATACCATGCAATTAGATTGCTATTATCAAGATAAGTGTTTCCCAGTTCCCATCTGTCTTCCTTATGAAGGGACAGGGACAGTGACACCTTAACTTCATGCTGGCTTCAATTCAGCATTTTTATAGAAGCTCTGATATATACCTCTGAATACTGAAGTAGTGCATTTGTTCGAGCATATACACAGCCCTTTCCTAATTCTGCAAGATTCCCAGAGGGTTGGCACAACAGCTGCTACATTCAGCAGTGTAGCAGCTGGCAGCTAGCTCCAAGGAGAAGTCTATGGGAGTTTGGTCTACCCAGAAACCATATAGACATGCAAGACTGAGGACACAACTCAGAGGGTGCACTTAGACCTGACAGCAAGTATATTTACTAACATCAGCAGTACTCACCTATCCAGCGCTTGTCGAGCCAGCTGTTTCAGTTTGGACTGGAGGCCTGCTTCTGAAGTTTCAGTAGCCTGAAGTACAAAATAAAAGCAAGAAAAAACAAAGCTACACATTGAAAGAAACCCAGCATGTTTTAAAAGCGCAGTTTGTCATAACTCTAGATTACACTGAAGAGTAACTAGCTATTTTTTCCAATTCTATTTTTAAATGAGCAAATATGTGGGGCTTGTAGGGTTTTTGCTGTTCTTGTTTTTTTAATCTCATCATAAAAACCATATGAAGTACGTAAATATCATTTTGCTGTTCTAGTGAAATGTTCATAAAATGGAAGTGATGTTTAAAATTTTTCAGCATGGGAAACATAACATACAGAAAAAAATTTGCCAGAAGAATTAACTGTATTAAAACACTATGGGCAGAAAGAACACAAAACCAAATGTAACATACGCTACTGAGCTTGGATGTGTTCTCATTCTTTTCCCCAAATGAGTAAAAAATAATCAGGATAACTTAGGAAAAAAAATACATTTTTGAATGCTTATTTTCATAAAATACAAACTAACAAGACAGATGTGCAAGAACAACATTTTTAACTTGCAATCAAAAGCATAAAATAAACTATGACAGGGCAACGAAACAGGTATCAAGAGTGCTAACTTCTGTTCCCAGTTGGGAGGTCAGCTATGACAGTTTACACTTTCCTTTTCCTTACAGGTGAAGCATGGCTTCTGCTGCTAAACAATCTGCAAGAGGCACAACATGACATGTGGCTTCTCCTGTGACACCCACAAGTGTGACAGGTTTCAGGTTCTAGCTTTGTAGCTTGACCAGGTCAGCCAGGTCAACTGAGGATACAAAAAGCAAGCTACTTTCACCCCAGGAAACAAAACGAGAAACACCCTCTACAAGCTACTAACTTCATTTGCAAATAAATTACACACTGGAGTTCCTGGTTGGAAAAGATTCTGAAAGATGTATGAAGGTAAGCAATGGAGATGGAACACCAGCACAGTCATCTAGGAATCAGCCACAGAAGAGGAGGAATGGCTGCTCTATTAGTACTTTAAGGGTAAGGAAGAAACAAATTTCTCCACCTGCATATTCTAAGGAGAAAAATAGAAGTAAAGCTTCAAGATAGCAGAGTTCCTTCAATCTTCTTTCATCCTGGGAAGAAGGTGGTACTTTTGGGTCACCCCAAGGAACAAAGCTTACCATCATGTCAACAAAATAATATGCTAGTCAAGATTAAAAGAAAGTTCAGCAGTATCTTGTACCTCATGAAGTACCCGATGTTATATATGCATATATATATGCAGTTATTAATAAAAATATATTCTTTCAGACATGAAAAATACATGTACAAAATATGTACTTTCAGACTAACTTCAGTAATAGTTTCATGCACTGACACAACAGAAGGAGGAACACAGCAGAGGAAAAACAGTACACTGCTGCAGCAGATGTTATGTAATAGACTGAAAATGTTCTGCTCCGACAGCTCAAGTCAAAAAACTAGAGCAGTTCTACTAACTCTTGATCTGGTTACACTGCATCACCAGGGGTTTTTAGCCTAGGTATAACCTGTTTACAGAATTCAGAGAAAAGAACTTACTCTAGCATGTAGCAACAGTAACATACCACTCTCAACAACCCACATATATTTTTACATTATAAAAAGGGAAAAGAAGGGAAAAAGAAAAACAGACTTGGTGGAGTTACATTATGATGGTGAGCTCTTCTTATAATGAGTTAGTTAAGGCAACTGGACTTAGGGGAAAAAAGCAGTACCTGTAATTATATTCTTCATCATTTACATAATGGCCAATTTGTCCTTATTAATTTCAGTGTGAATTGAATTCACTCATAACAGCTTTAATGTTGAGCAATCAAGTACTATTTTTACTAGTTTTGGCATCAGTAGACTATTACATCTTCAGAAAGTGTCACACACAAAAATTTCACTTAAATGACTTCCTTTAATGTAGTCAGAAAGTAATACAGCTGACACATTAGCAAGTCATCTTCAGTTTTAACAGTTTTTAATTTGGTTTAGCACTGTATTTGCTCCAGGGCAAAAATTAACATGAAAAACGTTCCAGAATATTTCCAGTTTTTAGTATGATCCAGTTCAGAAAAAAAAAAAACACACAGAAATCACAAGACCCCAAAAATTTACAGTGTTGTATAGCAACACAACACAGGCTGGAAGAAATGCTAAAAAAAAACAGTGGGGAAAAAAAAGATTAAAAAGTAGCTTTTAGAAATACAGGTACTCCATTTTCAAGCCAGCCTTTAAGAGTCAGTCACTTGTGTAAGTTGAAGAATTTCTTACCATCACATAATTCCACCAAGTTAACCTGTAGCTTAACATACTGTTTTCAAACAGAGTTCCACGGCTTCTGTGTACAACTCTATAGCTTCTTCTGCATTGCCTTTATCATCTTCATCAAAAGCCTGTGTAACTAGGAAGTGAGCACGCTCCAAGTCCAACTGTTGTTTTGACTTCAGAGGGTCTGTTTTCTGTGACTGAACTAAACGAAAAAGAAAGTATTTAGCCTTCTTCAGCAGCAGACATGTAAAAACATCCTTAACATGGTATGGAAACACTAGCAACCCTAATCAGATGAGTAATAACTATTTCTTGTCTGGAAACTAATCTTTCTAGACTTCGCTAAAAACATCTAGGCAAGGACCACCCCTTCCCTGAAGCAGAGATACGCTCTCAGGATATTTCAGATGTCAAATAATGTAAATAAAATCTCTTTCATACTACACTGAGAACAAGTATGTTTATGTCAAATATTGCATCATTTGTGAAAACACATCACCTAACAAAATATACGAGTTCCTTAGGTGTCCATTTCATTTAATACCTTTATTAATGACCTGAAGGAGAAGGCAGAGTGCACCTTCACTAAGGTTGCAGACTCCACCAAACGAATTCATTCAAGCACACAGCTGTGTGAATGAACACAGCTGTTCAAATGGATACAGACAAGCTAAAGTAACAGGCTGCCAAGAACCTCAGGACAAATGCTATGCCCTGTGCTTGGGACAGACTAACACCCTGCAGGGTATAGGCCCATGAAGGAGGGTCTGGGGGACAGGTGGATGAACCAGCAGCAATGAAGGCTAACAGCACCCCGGGCTGCATCATCAGGAGCACAGCCAGGAGATTTGGGGGTGGGGAAACGATTGGCACCCTCTACTCAGCACTCAGCAGACTGTCTGGAATGCTGCATCCCACCTTGGGTCCCCAGTGAGGCTGAGGCTGGAGGACTTTGCCTTTAGAAAAGCTGAGGAAGCAGAGCTTGTCCAGCCAGGAGGAGAGACGGCTTTGGGGGGACCTAATAGCAACCTGCCATTAGTTGCGAGGTTGTCAAGAAAGAGCCTGAATCCATTTTCTTCACTGCAGTGTGAAGAAAGGGAATGAGAGTCAGTGGCTATGGATTGAAACAGGGGAGAATACAACTAGATATATATAAAAAAATAATCACTAGAAATACAATTGCACCCTGGAACGGGGGCTCAGGGGCACCAGGAAATTTCTGTCCTTAGGTGTTTTTAGGACCTGACTGAACCTAAGCAACTTGGTCCAAAAATCAATGTCTACCCTGTTTTCTGCTGGACATAGGCCTTCCAAAGTCCCTTTTTGGCCAAATGATTCTATGATTCTAATTGAGAATTGCAAGTGTGCAAAAATTTAAGGATTTAGTCTAAGCAGAAACATTGAAATCAGATCAAACAAGGAAACTCTTATGAGAGCAAAGAGCTCCTTTGCCCTCTCAACATTAGTAATTATATATAAATATCAGAACCCACTTGCTTCAAATCCATCATGCAGCTAACCTCAGATGCGTGTTTTGATTTGTTCCTAATCAATTTTTATCGCTATATTTAATTACTTTCTCATGTTTTCTCTGCAGATGAGATTCCTCAGAATATTTAAAAGCAAAGAATACCCACGCCCAAGTCCTTAGGTAGTTCAGTCTCCACTTAATTTCTGATGTATCAGAATTCAAAGCACTGATACGCTTATTTGTGGTTCTTCACAAAGGACAAGAAAATTAGAATAATGAAAAACAGAGCAAACACCATTGATATGTATTTCACGGCAGCAAACAACTTCCTAATTAAACCTCTGCTTAAATTAATTGAGTGGAAAGCTCCTTACCCACCTGCTGAATGGAGAGCTTGAACTCTCTCCAAGTACTCATTTATTTTTTCTTGAATATTTTCCAAGTTTGACCCAGCCATCCCAGCATAAATCAAGGCTTGTGCAGCTTCCTGCAGACAGAAGAATTTGAGACAAAGTTAATGTTTGTTGCCTAGAAAATTAGTTTCCATAAACAGAGGGCCTACAACAGCCTTGAGTTGCATGAAAGCAAACCCTTACATCTACAAAAAGACTCAGTGGCTGAAGGGAAATTCTGCTGGAAAGAAGAAGTTTCAGGTTATAAATTAGATCATGTTCAATTTCTCACATCTGGAAAAACCTATAAGACTATAAAAATATTTAGAAGTTCTGTAAGACAAGATCTTAGGCCTGTCTGTAAAGTATCGTATGAAATTAGGAGATTTTAAGTAAAACTTTCCAAGCATGCATTGAAACCAGTTTGGTTTTAAAGCCGTGGATTTAAGGTTAGGAAAAAAATTAGCTACTCAAGTTATTTGCATTTAATCTGATAATAATGATAAAAGCTTTTCAAAATCAGATGCAAAGAATTTTGGGGGATTTTTAGTATTACTCAGATAAAGCTATCAAATGTGGAAAGTCTATAAATTTGAGGTTTCCTACCTTCTCAAACTTGTTTTTTCAAATATTTGCACGTACACAAAAATACTGGATGCAAGTCTACTTCCAGAAGGGAGCATAGGCCTCCAGCTCAGAAGCACAGTATGCTACCCACATTAAGGCTTGTCCCATACTGTACAAATCTATTAAGAAAAAACACCTTCAGTTGCATAAGCTGTCTATCCATTCACTAAATTTATGAAAAACATGTAAGGTTTGGCAGGGCTGCAATAAATAGCCAGACCTGACACAGTCTCAGAACCACATGGGGAATCCACACTTGTCACCCACAAAAATGAGGACAAAAACCTTATTTTGTCCTCATTATTGGCATGGGGAAAAAACCCACAACATTCTTGTGGCAGTGCTCAACTTCTCTGCAGCACAAGAGGAGAGGAGGTGGTCGTACAGCAGGCAGGCTGGTACCGGGGAAAGCAAAATAGTAACTAGAGAGCTGCTTCACAAAGATAGTGCTCAGAGAGGCTGCTCTGCACAGGGCAAGCACAGAACCATGGCCAACAAGCCCCTCGTGTGCTTTATGGCCATTGTTTCTGTCAAGCTTTGCAGTTTGCTCCCCTACTCATCTGCCCAGTTTGCCCAAGCTTAAAACTGATCCTGACATAGCCTGTACTTGTTATCAGGATGAATTTTCACTAAGAAGCGTCACAGAACCAAGTACCACATACTCCCTGTTGGCATCCATCTCCATATTACATCACATAAAACGTCCACAGCCACAGAAAGGTAAATTGAAGTTCCATTTATATGTAGCAGTTAACTACCACTAAGGTCTAGCACACAACTATTCTTTGGAGGGGGAAAAAATACACTCCAGCTACCTGCTCAAAGGATAAATATATTTGTCTGTGACATATGACAAGTACAGACTGACAAATCAGGTGCTCTATCATAAAGGCGTGTTGTCTACATACGATGCCAAGAACAAATGTGGATTTTCAAACCAGTGCTGCAGAATCAATGTATAACTGATGTTGCTTCTGTACCTTCAGGAACAACTGTTTTGCCTGGTTTTAAGAGGTAAACATAATGAAAACAGTCTTTTATAAATTAAGCCTCCAAAGGACTAGAAGTTGACCCGCAGAGCCAGCCCGCCAGCTGTTTCCAGTGACCAGATGGACATGCAATTCAGAGTTAGCATTTATGATCTCTTCACTATCATTATTGTTCTTTGTCATGAGTAGTGTGCCACAGCCACACTAAGCTAACTACTCATTGTCAGTCTGCAAGATGCTAACTGCTGGTCAACACTCAAACTTAGCAACAGCCTTTAGCAGCTTTGCTGAGGTCATTGGGTATCCAAAAATGATCTTGACATTTCTGCAGAGCACCATTAGCAAGCTGCCCTAGGCTGGTTCACACGCAGCCCTCCTCTAGGGATCTATCAAAGTTAAGTGGCAGCAGGAAGTGAACAGCACTTGCAAGCCATAGAAATTCCATTCAGACTGGTCTGTTTCGCTGTTGTCTTATGGACAACAACTGTAGCATTTTCCATGTTTCATCCTTAAGGTCACTTTCTTGCAGAAGCCAGTTCAACATCTAGGCTTTCCCACATGCTTAGTAGTTGCACCAGTGGGCTCTGAACTGCTTAAATCAGTTGATAAGAAAGTTAGTGATGGGCCAGAGCTCACTTGCATTGTCCAAAAAGAAAAGCATGAAGGGCCCCAAAATACTAGATGATATTTTCTAACTACTTTTGTTTAATCTAATATGGCAATGATTCTTCAGGCAATATCCAGAAAGCCAAACCTATCTCAGCTGAAATATACATAAAGAATTCTGCTTTAATAGTATCTGCTGAGTTTGCTCTCGCTCCTGATCGCAATAGGATTGAACACCAACACCTTTGCATACAATCTGACACAAGCATCAATATCTAGTGTTGGATTGCCAAGAGGCACCTGTCTGAACAGCAGAAACCTTACCTGCAGTTGTGATTCAAAGCTTTAACAGGGTCAAATCTGTGACTGTGCTGCTCTCTGGCACAGCTTTTGCACGCCAGAAAACACTATCCAGGTTACACTCCTTGTCATGTGTAAGCTTCAAGTGCACCAAGATTGCCAGGAACGCGTTTTTGCACTTAGCAAGAACACTACCCATATGCAGCAACTGAAAAAGATTTTCCACACACTGTTCAAAAGCGTACGAGGGTGATTACTTGCACAAAGAGATGTTTTTATTATGTAGAGCAGTGAATAATTTCTTTCAGATATATGCAGAAATATACGGTACTGAAGCAATACTGTGCATGGATATCAGACCATGCACACACACTGCTGCTGGTAAGTACAGAGTTTATCAGAGTTATTATGGGTAACTATAACTTTTGCATACATATGCTTTACATATATAAACTTAACTCACACTACATTAACAACCAGGCTAAAAAAAAAAGATGCCTCCCTTCCTATCCCTTCACACTTACACGCACAGGCCACCATAATAATAATACTACGCTTTTTAAATATTTCATAGACACCTAACACTCATGAAGCAAAAGGCCAGCTACCAAGCCTTTAGCAAGTTAATGGAAAAGAATTACTTTGGCAGAATAATGGAATTTGCGGAATGATTAATGTGACAACGATAAACATGGCCTTACAAAAAAAATCCCTCCTCGCAGGTGAGAAGTAAAGCCAGTGGGATATGGAACTTCAATGTAACTATGCAAAACATAAACCCAACAAAATGAGACAACTTACACAGGTGAAAAATACGTAATAGTTGCACAAGATTTACTAAATACCAGTAGTAAGTCTATAGATATTGAGCAAGACACTGAATCAACCTCATTACACCCTTGGCTACACCAACCTGAAGCTGTACTTAAATAATAAAATCTGGTCCCTAATGGAAAGAATATTCATACGTGGTTAAAAACACATCACTGACAGCTTATGATCTGAAGCTGTCTTACTGCTGAGTATCTCGTATTTCACCACAGACTTTTTTTTTTTTT